TGTGGATCATGTGAACAATAGGATCAGCTGTCCCGTGTTCCACTGGAGCAAAACACCTGCCTTCACCCAGGGACGCTTCCCTGAGGCCTCTGCTACAGCAACAGCTGGACATCTGGACAGGGAGTGGCTTAATATATGGTACTGTGCAAAAGTTGGTTTTAGCAAGGTTGTAATGATAATTTATATGCATTTCTCAGGCTCTTTATTAAGATATAACCAGAAAATACAGGAAATATGTACACAGTATTTAAAAAGAAAAACAATGTTCAGAACAAAATGACCTTTACAGTCCAAAGTCAGTGTTTAGTGTGACCTCCCTTTGCTGCTAGCGCAGTTTGAATTCTTTTGGGGAGACTGTCCTGAAGTCTTGAAACCATAACAGACACTCCTCCATGTTTCACTGAATGCTGCAGGCACTTGTTCTTCCAGCTTTCTCCAGCTCTTCTTCTTACATACCATCGACAATTGGACATAAAAATTTCAGACTTCAATTCATCACTCCATAATACTCGTTTCCACTGATCTTCACTCCAGTCTTTGTGAGCTTTTGCATATCCCAGCCTTTTCTCCATGTCCCCCCTCTGAAAAAGTGGTTTCTTGGCAGCTGTTCTTCCACAAAGGCCGTTCCTGATCAAGCTTCTTTGGACTGTAGAAGCATCAAACTGGCATCCAGATGAAGCTGCCAGATGTTGAGCCAGGTCCCTGCTGGATTTCCTCTGGTCTCTCAAAGAAGAAACTCAGAGAAACTTCTCATCAGATTTGGACAGCTTTCTTGGCCTTCCAGTCCTCTTTTAGTCTCTGACCTCTCTGCACTCTTTAGATTTCTTCAGAACAGCTTGATTATCCAGTTTAATTTTTGTTTATTAATACTGTGTATATTTCCCATATTTTCTAGTTTTATTCTGTTAAAGAGACTGGGCAAACTCACATGAACGTGTAATGGCCTGGATTAAATGCCCATTCAAGGAAATCCTTAAATATCATGTAATACTTTTAGTAAAAAAAAAAAAAAAAAAAGTCACACAAATGATAATTATAATTCACCAATTTAAAACTAAACCAAAAGTTTTCCTTATCAGGAGTCATGTGTACATTTGTTCATACTTCCCTGACATCTTTTTTCACTTTTGTCACGTCAATGCAGAAACATAACACACACGAAATGTGATTCATTTCAAGAGAAAATATTTTTGGACACGTACAAACACTTTCTAATGGACTTGTCCAATGTCCACAGTTATAGACCAGCGAAGGAAATCATTCATTCACTCATGAAACCCTGTCACGAATGAAAATAAATATCAATCTCATACTCATAAACAAATTCTGGCTATTGGTTATTGGCATGAAATTAAGGACTGTAAATATAATTTACTCAGTAACAGCTGTCCTCCATCATGAACCTTGACACCAGTATAAACACATAACTATAAATCCATACATGTCCTGTAGATCAAGTTATTATCTGCAATTTAACCTGAGATATTTCCTTAGTTTTCATAGTTTAGACCTATCTCAACCCTAAATTACAGTAACATGTTCTTTCAAAATCTACTTGTTCAATAAAAGAAGGTCTTGTGAGATGGAGTCACTGACATACATTCATTTGATCTTGGATAAAAAACAAAAGTCTTAACTTAAGGTCCACCTGCTTTGTTTGGAGCTTTCAAACACATCTTTAGGTGAATCCCAATTCCCCTGATTGCATCCAAGTTTCCCCCACTTCTGTCTTTTGATTGCGTCTTAGTTCTGCCCACAAAGGAGAAACTGCAAGGGGAGAGGAACCCAGGAAACATGTTTAAACCAACATGGGATGTCCCTTTCTCTGATCCTTTATGTAAAGTGCAAATCTATAACTGGCTTCTGCGAAGGACACAGCGTGTATCCTCAGTTATAGCTCCCCCAGGCAGCCTCCTCGCTCCTATGAGCAGAAATAAAAGCTTTGGCAGACACGAACGACTTCTGGGTTGAGCGAGGATCGAGGACTGAGGAACAATAAAATAAGGGAATTGGGATTCACCTTTAGTCTTCCTCAACAAATGGACTCACTTCCATACTTAGTGGATATTCACTTGTGATGCCAATTGATGTTATCACCATGACAACTGACCAAATTCCATGCACTTGCGGTGACCATGATTTGAAGATGAAAACTCTAGCAATAGTTTGAAAGTAGACCCTGAGTTAAATTTTTTTTTGGTAAAAGCAAATCAGTGGTGTTTTTGTATGTTTGTTTGTTAGATCTGGGAGATATCTAGATTTAGTTGGTCTTGTAGTTCTTCATTTAATACACATGTTCTTGTCATTGTATCTTGTAAAACTTGAGGATCTGGTTTAGAGATGTCCATGGGTATAAACTTAGCTTAAAACAGTCACAAATGGGCAGTGAATAATAGCTGCACTGTCATACTTTCCAAATTAAAGTATTTAAAAAAAAATACATCTTTGAATTAGGCCGTGACTTGAACTTTCACTCCCCCCAACTATTTAAGGTTAAATGATACATTTAACGTGTCTCATAACTAAATAATTTCTGATGCCAGCCATAACGTTCTCTGGGCTGCCAGCACTATCGAGATCAAAAGGTAGTTTTCAGCTTTCATCCACTGCCTGGAAGCGTGAAACTTTACATATCATTTTATTAAAGCATTGTGGTCCAAGTACAGAATGTGCATTCAGCACTTTCAGCCCTGATCATTGCAGCACACCCCTTCACGTGCTAAACAGTTTAACACTATTATTTGAAATTTGTCATTTTTACTGAATAAATGTTATTCTCCACTGACTTGTACAAACTAAACTGGCATGTTCACTTGTTGTTGCCTTCAAAATGAAGGTGCCATAAAGGCTACCTCTGGCCTATTAATGAGCCAGTGAAAGTTATTAAAATTCATTTAATCATCCAATGAAAAATGAATGACTTGTGTTTGATATTGTTGGCAAAGCTAACAAAGGAGAAGTTTGCTTTGATCAGGAAACTATTTGAACCCTGTTGGAGAATTTAATCAGCAGCGAGGTTTTGGCTTCAGTATATCTACACAGAAAAAAAGGTTGATTAGGTTAAGTGGGAGGGAGGAGAGAAGCAATCATGTCAGCCCATACCCAAAGAGATCATTAAATTAATGGATTGCTGGTGGCTATCTCAGAGCGCAAAGATCTGTGGATGGCCGAGGCTGAGAAGTGCAGCGCAGAGCAGCGGCACAGAGTCAGCTCATAAGTGACAAAGAGTATTCGCTGGCCTGCATCCTCCAGTCTGCAGCTGGTATTAGCAGGCACCTAGTGTTCTGTCAACACATATTACTCTACATACAACTCATCTGAGCGGCGTCAGCGCTTTGCCTGCGCTGAGCAGGAAAAACTGTGGGAAAAGAAAAACAGGAAGAGGAATAACTTGTACTCCTCAGATGCTATAAGTAACATTAGGTAAAAGCCTGAGTATATAGCTATAAAGTTAACCACATAGGAGAAACTGAAGGTTTACAGTGAGCTCGGTACATTAGAAACTGTATGACACCTGTTACTTCAAATAATAGCAGACAAATAAGATTAAATCCCATCGGAATACTGAATTGTATGATTTACACTTTTCCAGGACAGCTGTTAACTGAATAGCCTCTAATTCCTCTGGGAGCTTTAATACCTTACTATGACACACAAAAGCTGAAATAGGTGGATACACACTGAGTTTGTGTCACGCAAAACACAAGAGGATCAGTGTCAAACACTGCAGATCTAGCACACACATATCAAAGGCTATTTACTGCATTTGTTTAAGTTGTTTTGTAAAGATCTTCACCCTTCCATTGCTATCCGGTGACAAGTATGGGGATTTGTCTGCTGCACGATTACGTGTAAAGCTGGCTCTGAGGCTGAGGAGCATCATTATGGACTAAACACAACTAAAACAAAACACAAGCTTTCTGGTACCCCACAGTCTGCTCAGTCGAGGCTCTGGAAGAACAGATGGAGGGGGAGTTGTCTTAGTCATCATGAGACAGAAGCAGCTACTGTATGTAAAACTTATTAGAGAAACATTTACTGAAAACTCGTTATTTGGTCAAAAACAACTTGAACTGATCATCTATTAATAAGATACTGCAAGTATCTGAATAGTTCTTCGACCATTTGAATCCATAACACGTGATTTGATGTTTTGTATGTAAAATATGAATCTACAAAGTAGTAACTACAGCTGTTAAAAGTAGTGGAATTACAATTCTTGGGTTTTTGTTATTATTATTTTATTTCCATCATTGCTGCTAAGTGTTCCCTGTTGTGTTTCTGGATGCCACTTCTAAAGATATCTTGTCAATCCTTCAACTATTTAAAGGGTATACTAGTTTTCTAACACCGATTTATATGAAAGAACAGAAATTCAAATATATTTTATTGGTGTCAGAGATTCAGTGAGTAAAGCATGTGGAGCAGCCTCTGAGTAGAAATTCAACTCCTGCCCTCAGCTCAGCTCCTGCTGGGCTGCAAATGGGGAGGAGGGTTGGGGTAGATGAAAGGGTGAGAACTGTTGGCAGCTGCTGATTCCTTCATTCACTGAATCTCTGCTGCTTCCTTTATCAGCATGTAATGTGTCTGATATATGACTGACAGCTTCACAGTGATAAGACAGGCCTGGTTAACTGGAAGCCTGGGGAGAACTACTGACCACATGATGTCCATAAACTGATACTGGATTGTTGTTAAATACCAATAACCATCCAAAATTTACAAAGACTTCCACTTCCTTGCTACATCCTCTTGTGTTATGATGACATAATAGCAATGCGGAGTAAACCAACGTAAGTGCGTGACTGTAAAAGGAACGTGATTATACCTAAAGTGAAAACCATGCATAGCGCGCACTGTGGCAGGTGACTTCAATTCAATTCAAGTCAATTTTATTTGTACAGCGTCAAATCGCAACAAAATGGATCCAATCGCTCAGCTTGGGTGTAAGTGATGAAAAGGAGGAAAAGAAAGGCATTTCAAATTATTTCAGTGTCGTTTTATTGTACGGATATAAAGAATAAATAGCAAATTTCCTTAATTTACAGGTTAAAACAAGTCACCAATACATGGCTGTATCAATAATCAAAGTTACACGCGGAGGTCGAGCTGCTTCATCCAAATATGGACAACCGCAAGTCCTCAAACTTGGCACAATGCGTCGTATCTCCATAAATACAAAATATATAACCAATATTCTCCACAAATAAAGTAGACTCTGGTTACAAATAATACTGGCTTTTTACAGAGAGTTATATAGGACACCGCATATACAGAAAATACGTTCCTGCACTCGGTAGTGCATGTGAAAGAAGATTCGCAAAAATATTAAGTCTGTAATTTATTTTTGCTGCAGAGTCTTTTAACTGGAACAGGAGCATTTACAATCTGTGATGATGGGGTACTGCACCGGTATCCATGCGCATTTGAGTCCTTTCTTCTGCACGCACCTCCACCTCAATATCGTGAGGTGGGTCGAGTTTGCAGGCTTACACACCATCCCCTCAGGAACCGAACACGACCTTTTGCTGAGGCAGCTGCCAACCCGCACGAACCGTGGCCAGAACCTGTTCCCCAGGTCGGTCCAGGTGTACAGCACCGGGCAGAACGAGTACGCCCACAGCCACTGCTGCAGCCGACGCTTCAGTTTTTTACTTGGCTTGTGCTTTTTGCCAAACTGGACGTCGAAATCCACCGCTCTGATTTCCTTCGGCAGTACTCCACCAGGCTTCTGGATCTGGAAATCACCCAGCTCCTCGTTCCCGGTGTATCTGTCGTCCATGGGCGGTAAAACGGACAAAAAGCGACTGTCAAAATCTCCCAGTACATTCTTCAATTCGGTCTCGTTAAAGTCCCGCTCCTTGGGGTCAAAGACGGGATCTGGGTCCTCTTTTAATTCCACAAGAGGCAGACTGTCACTCGGGATGGGACGGAGAAGGTAGTAGTGCTGACAACCTCCCCTGTCAATTAGATGTCCGAGAGACAGCACCAGGAGATACATAGCTACACACTGCTGAGACTGATCCATCTCAGGCGGTCCAGCAGTGACTTCGGTGCGCACAAAGAGCTGCTATAATGCCACTTTCTTGTGCGCAATTACGCGTGAGCCTTATCCAAAACTGCGCCTTGAAACTGCGTCCTTAAAACTCACAGTTTTCCATAATGAAAATCCGTGACAGAAGTAAAAAGTTCATCTGTAGCAGCATCAGTGGCAACAGTATTTAATGATGGACAGCGTGACAAAACTCTGTCTCCTCGGGCTCTTTGCTCGCGGACTCGACATGATGCTCTTGTTGTCTCTTCTGCAGAAAAGTGCTGAGCGTAACACGCGACGTCCCCTATATCCTCCACAAGGACCGTGATGTAATTCATGTGCCCCTCTTTGAATGTGGGTTTGTTGTCTAGGAGGAGATCCCCAATACCTCCTTCTTCCACAGCACGGGGGGTGGGGTTGGGGCATGCAGGGAAAGGAGACGCCCCCTGTCTGTTTTCCAGACTTCCTGAAATCAGTCTCTCAGTGGTAGAGAGTAGCGAAAGCTGTCGTTCTTAAAGAGTGTCGCTCATCTGGTGAATCGTTCTGCTGGGAGTCTCTGCAACTTCACAGAACACCCAACTCGTTTTGTAACAGCAGCTAGTGACACTAACTGTCCACTTACCAAAGTACTGGTTCTATTTCGTACAGGCTCTTACTTGAAGTCCTTCCACTGTTACACTTTATATTTCACTACTCCACTAGATTTATGAAATAATTCTATTTGTATTTACACGCATGATGAATTTTACTGAATATTTTAGATACATAATACATTAGTTCGTAAAATATGATCGACTGTTTTAAGTTAAACTCTATAAAAATAGACTGCATAGGTTCAGTTGGCAGTTCAGGTACACCTAGATAAAACTAATGCAGTCTAATCCAACAGCCCTACAATAAATCCTCTTTGCTGAAGTCGATAATATTCAGTTGTTGTTGTTTATACCGCTTTATAGAGGTGTTGATTCAACTGTGTGATCAGTTTGGAGGTTGTAGTTTGCGCTGTTATTGAACTGCACTGCAGTATAACGCAATACAATTTGTTAGTCATTAAAATGAGCTTAGTTTCAACCAGCATTTAAATGCTGTCTAATCAGCAGGATACAGGCTGGTGAAAGATTAAAGGAAAAACCTGAATAAAACAAGCAGAGAAACATAACGAACACATGTGCTGACATGCTTTGAGTCCACTTGTCCTCTTGGAGTGAAATTAATACAGTGTTGTTCTGGGCGATCACCTTTATCCTATGATGAAACATGTCTATCCTGATGGGAGTGGTCTCTTCCAGGATGACAGTGCCCCCATCTACTGGGCACGAGGGGTCACTGAATGGTTTGATGAGTTTGAAAATGATATGAATCACATGCTGTGGCCTTCACAGTCACCAGGTCTCAATCCAGTTGAACACCTACTGTACGGGAGATGTTGGAGCAACGTAGAAGGCATTTCTATCCCCATTATCAAAACATCAAATGAGGAAGTATCTGTTGGAAGAATGGCGTTCAGAGAGTTCAGAGACTTGGGGAATCAAAACCAAGGTGCACTGAAACTGTTCTGGCAGCACGTGGTGACCTATCACTTGATGCTGGTTTGTCCTTTCCTTTGTCACCCATAACACTGAGTGGGCACAAGTACTTCTACTTTTGATACCATGTAAGTACATGTTGCTGATAATATCACTTTTCCATCACTAACATTTTTTAATGCACAACTCTTAATTATAATAGAACATTTTCACATTGTGGTATTTCTGTTCCACTGCTTCCGGTCTCCTGCTTTTATGTTGACACTACTTCCTGTCCCCAGCTCGCCCGGACTCCCGGGAACTCTAGCGCATCACCCACATTGGTTTCACCTGCCTCTCATTACATACACCTGTTTACAACAGCATATAGGCAGCTTCCCCACACCAAGAAGCTACCAGATTGTTCTAACTCCAGTTCAGACTTTCCAGCATTTTTTCTGTACCCGTGATTCTAGCTCGGACCCCGGATTATCTTGTGACCACTGAGTATTGCCTAGCCCTCCTGATTTCGGATTGTGTTTTCTGTGTATCAACCTTGGACCTCCTCTTTGTCCCCCCTTTTTTTTTTTTTTTTTTTTTTGGACCATGCTTTCGTGGAAAGCTTGTCTGTGTAAGTTTGCTGGATCTGTCCCTGGACTGTATTACCGATCTAAGCGTTTGTTTCATGTTTAAGCAGTTTTCTGTATCATTTTGTTCGTTACCAGTGCTCATATTAACGAGACAGTTTCCGCCTTTATTCATCTGGCTCTATAATTGAGTCCACCCTCAAATTTATCGGCAGCTTCACATGCCGATCCTGACAATTTGTACTTTTATACTCCTAAGTGAATATTTCTTTCACCACAGGTAAGATCAGAATTTAGTTTTGGAAACTGACACCATTTGGATTAGCTTTACACCAGACAAACACACACTTACAGTTTAAGATTTTATTTCTGCTTCAGCCCAGAATGATTATTAACTTAACATCTATATAGTCTCATCTGTAGCTGGGACAATGTCTAGTATTTAAAGCCAGAATCAAAACGGGTTTATTCAAAAGGCACTGGTCAGCAAAACTGATGGTCGCATGATGTAATTTCTTCAGTATCATTAGATCCAGCTTGTAAATAAAGAATCAAAGCTGCATATTAATAATAAACATTACACTAAATTTGGGCATACAGTACATGCATGTCCCTCTGAACAAAGCATCACCACAAAATGCATACCAGTTTACTTTTGGACAATACTGGTCTGTTTTGAGAATTTGGTCATGTCTGTTCAGACTTTTTACAAATACTACAACAGCTGCAGAAATATACAGCAACATTAATAATATACTCACAATTTTTCCTGAGAGCCTTAATAAGCAGCAACCAATGAGCCAATCTGTCATTATATATTACAGCCACATTGTGCAGTCCCAAACTGTTCAACCACACTCAATTTGAATTTTAGTGGAGATTGCAAAGTTTTGATGGAATGTTGCAGTAGGATCTTGGATTTGAATACTTCCCACAGTATAAATATCATGAAGTGTAGGAACAAAACAACCTGAAGGCTACTTAAAGGCAGGCAAATTTTTAATGCATTTCTGATAGTACAGGAATCCACCTTTTGCATTTATTAACAATATGTAACTTTTTAAGACATTGTAGAAATACACTCCAAAACTTGTCTTAATGTAGAGAGGTGCTGTCGAAGCCTCCTGTGACCCAGACTCTTTGAACAGCACTGGCAGCAGTGCAGAGATATTGGCTTCTAAAAGGTTTTGAGCAGGATTGACCTCTCTAACAAATCATATTTTGCTTGATCAGTAAGTTTGTTGCATTCATTAGGACAAATATCTGAAGAGCTGGGCAGAGTGTAGCAGATCGTAATACAGCATCGTGGAGCAGGGAGAGGGAGCGCTGGGTGAAGCAGAGTGGATTGATTTGGAGTTTCATGCTAGTGCCAGCTTAAGTTACATACTGTAGCTTTAAAGTTGGCCAAACACAATCAAAAAGTCATTGTGGAGGAAACAAGTAAAATCATATTACCCAATTAGCAGGAGTGAATATAAGCACAGTGCGAATATTAGATGAACCTGCCTGTTAAGCAGACTTTGTGCAGTGTATTTACTATTTGTGTCCAGCTCAATTGGACAATATTTCTGCCTGTAACGGTGCCACAGTGAGCCTCTCAATAAAAGCCGGCCAAATGAGCTCCCAAATAAACAACACACTAAGCAGCAGCCATGGAAAGTATCACAATTTGCAAACCTGCCTCAACTCATGCTCAGAGAATCATTCTTTGAAAAAATAATTTAATGGAAGAACTTAGCCAGCTGCTACATCAGCCATAAACCATCCGCTTTAGATAAATGCATCTCTGTTTCTTCTTGAATGAGCTAATTCACACAAGCACTTGAGCACACAACTCACAGGTTACAGTGAAATGATGGTGAAAGGTCTGGAAAATGTCACCTTTATATTTTTCATCTGAGCAGCACATATCATGAACTATCTCTCTCAAAAGAAAAAAAAAACCTCTTGACAGACTCAATTCAGTGGCTTCACATGTGGGATGCTGCAGAGTAAACCACACAGTCATACATACAGACAGGTCATCTTAAAAACATTAAACACTCAAGAAGTCACTGATTTTAAAGGAACACTGCAAATAAAATTTTAAACATATTCTTTTTGAAAACTTAAGAGTAAATGGTAGTTGAATTTAATGGCACACTTCAAAATAAAACTGGCAGGTTCTTCCTCTTAGGAAGTAATATTTCACATCCTGGAATATTCCATTCTAATACAGTTGCATGAGTGAAGTCCAAATATTGTTCTGATTATCATCAGAATGGCTGAGCTCATTTAACACCGAGTTGTTTTTCTTTTGTCTAATCCCTTCCTACCGTTTTACCACAACAACCGTTTGATAGTGAGATACTCTTCCTTACAAAGACAGATGCCTGCTTAGCACATCTGACTTTGGCTAATAAACCAGACAACCGTTCCATAGGTCACTGTAGCCATCCCTGCTGATTTCTCATTTAGATATAAAAAGCAGGCTTCTCTCTTGGCACACGTCTTCAGCACTGGTACCAAGAAAAGGCAAGCTCAAGTAGAAACACTAACAACAGAAAGGACTCTGATAGCTTTCAGCCATGCAAGAGCAAACACCAGAGATCTGAGATATGCAGTATTTAGAAAGTGAGGGTCATGTTGTTTTCTTGTTTTGTTTTGTTTTTGACACAATTAGCCAAGCAGACTTGATGTCGCACCTGCAGCGACTCTGTACAGAAGGTTATCCATGACAGAGAGCACATACAGTGGGATTCAGAAAACGCTAAGCACCTTTCACATGCTTTATCTCCCTCAGCACATTGTTTCACACCTCGGGCTAACTGAGGCTACAAGCTGAATACACACAGACATGAAGTGGGTGCCATTCTGTTTCCTCTGGCACCTCGGGGATGTGTAATTTGCTAGTTTGTTTAACACTTTTTCCCCCCATTCCTCTGCAACCGAAGAGCACACAATCACAATAATCACCCCTGCTGTGAGCTTAATTAAAACGAACTTCTACTTCCTGTGACCATGAGTCAAATGGCAGATTGTATTCTTGCTAGTCGCACTATTTTGGTTCCATTTGAGAATATAATTGCTTTGTTACATAACTATTCTCAGTAATATTGCCTTTGACTCTCAAATAACACAAATTCATTAGCCTGAAACAAAAGCAAAGTGGCTTCAGTTTGGCTACTGAAGATTTTTTTTTATGACTGATTAAATATATAAAATTCAAATAAATCATGTCAAATCCATACA